CTCTCTCTCTCCCTCCCTCCGTGCGTCCTCTCTCTCTCTCTCGCTCACTCTCGCATTGCTCTCCTCTAGTAAACACACGACAGCTCCCCCAAAAGCTGACTGCTCACTCTCTCCAAGAATGTTCCTCTTCCCACTAACAGTTTATTAAACGATTCAACACACCTAAAAGCATGTTGGAACAATGTTATAATACTGCCATTCATTCAATTATTTAATTTATTTAACATATTCGTCTTTAAGGCTTCAAAGTATTCAAAAAAAAAACATGCCAAAATAGAAATGTGTAAATCTAGGTGTATGTAGATATAGATGTAGATATAAATAAATAATAAATGTATTTTTATTCATTTAGGCTTTTTTTTGTTGGTATTATTAATGTTGTGTTCATTTGTATATGACATCTAACAGCCAAATTAAATAGTTCTAAGCTATTCAATAAAATCTAAAATTATGCAGTCTGATCTGATCTGCAGTGCTGATCAAACTGATTGTGCACAGATTTGTTTACTTAAACTACAAAAATCGTTAAGCAACTTTGATATTCAGCCACATATACAGAAATAAATGCTAACGTCATTTTAGTGTATGAATATTATGACTTGAAAATATACCGGTACTCTATATAATTTTATTTTTGTTAAGTAATTTCTTAATGTTCTGTAATGTGTAATGTTTTATATCGATCTAGGCCTATATACAGTATATTTGATTATGATGTATTATGTATACAATCTATACACTTCAAATGAAAACATGTATATTTTTGGAAACTGATAATGCTGTTGTTAGTTTTTCTTTTATAGCTACTGCTGTGTAAATATTTATTACAAAACCAATTCGGATAAAGTAGCAATATGTATTATTCAATGACATATGTAAAATGTAATATTTTAAAATGAAGTTCTGTAATCTTGATAGAAATATAATATTTGTCGGTAAGTAATACTTGGGTCATTCCTGGGATTCAGTAACATTTCAACTTGGAATTTTTTTTTTCAACTACAAATTAACTTTCTAAATACCCCACATCTTAAGGCACATATCAAACCTCTAACAAATCATAATTTCCCACCTCAGGCATTAAAGACCTTTTATTATTTTCGTTTTTTTTTTCAGATTTAGACACCTTTCATTCTCAACCCCGTAACATGACATGTTTTTCTTTTTTTATTATGCTCCCTGAGGTGTAATTGTAATATTACTAAAGTTTTGGGAGGAAACACATTCAAAACTGAGTGATTTCTGACCTTTTCCCACCTGTTTCTCATCCTCTGACTGAAACAGTCGGTTTTGGGGTGTTTTCCCTTTAAGAGGTCAGTGTAACCGCCCACTTTTACGATTGGCTAACATCATTGCCTATGCATTACCGTTTTAAAAATAGTTTTTACATTAAATACCACGTTACTTACAGTTTGCGGCGTCGTTGTTGGGTTCAGAACAGTTGGCACGGCCTGATCTGTGAGCAAAAGTATTTTGGCAAAGCCAGCATCATACTGCGATTTGTTCTCAAAACAGTCAACGGTGAAATGCACTGAACACACGCGTAAATTAGCACTGTAGTGACTGGGACGTCCGCTAAAAATAAACTGAATCCATTTCCCCCTGACGTCTAGATCCTTCGGCAGCGTATTCAAACATGTTGTTTTTCCACAGCCAGGAACGGCACATCGTCTGCGTGGCATCGCAATCTTATTCTAAACAACTAGCCTACTATGGCTTGCCATAAGCCTACTCCTTCAGAGCCACTGGCTGCACTGTGGGCGGAGCTGTCTTGCTCTGGAGGAGGTCATATGCAAACTCCTGCTCCCCCGTGACGTCACCCTGCACCTGCATCCAAGCCAGGCGTTTTCTGAGGGTTATTACATAAATGCTTTTTTTATTGATGATGAGGACGTTTTAAGTTATGCAACGTGCAGGATGTATTAAACATACAAAGACCTCTTCTATATCAAAAGATCAGGGGAAATGTGGTTTCTCATGTCATGACCCATTTACATGTCAGATGGTAATCAGCAAGAAATGCTTTTTCATCTTCCCCCCGAAAAATATAAATGTGACAAAGTGTGACGGTGTTGAAGACTGTAAAACATGTGAAGGAATACATTGCCTTCAAATTTGATTTTCAATTTTTGTTTCTCATATTGTTCTCTTCCTTTTTGGGTCAGCATGTCTGCATTCCCTTTCTGCTGCTAATGTGGGTGCAATTTCTGATGTAGGATGCTTGTCAAAATTTAAGTGGACATATTATTCTATTTCTATTCTATGTATAACAAAAATATGAGTTGTCATTATTTTGGTAAGTATATATTTACTGAAACTATGACTATTTTATATTTTTTAAATTACAATTGTTAATACATTTTGTAAAAAAACTCAACCCCGTCACAAGTTTACAACCCTGAAACAATGAGAAATATACATATATATATTTGTGACAGGGTTGAGCGTGATGGGGTTATGCTTTTTTTGCTCAAAATGGCCACTGCTCCCAGTGTAGGACAGCAGACCAGATATGGCAGCAATAAAATAAGTACATTGTACATACTTATGGAGTCAAATAAAATGTTGAAAAATAATCATTTTCCATTGTAATTTTATGTGGTGGTGTTGAGTTGTTAAGCTTGATAGTACCCTCCCTGATTATAATAAGCCTCAAAAATAAGAATAAAAATTATGATACTACTTACCATTTTCTGCACCACTATTAAAGAGAACAGAATGATGTCACATATGGGTGGAGTCTAAATTATCATGGGGGTAGAATGGTTACTATGACGGGGTTGAGTTTAGACTGAGGGACAATAACTTTAAAGTCTGTTTTTCCCCCCCAGAAACATATTTTTCACAAGAAAGGAACACAAATAAATGCTTACATTATTGCCAAGAAATATAGACACTGTGCATATTTTATTAATAATTTTCTAAGTACAACTCAGTGAAGTGCCGCAGGGACACGACAAAATGCTTGGTGTACGATAGAAATTATACGTTATTTTATGATCAAAATGATTTAAATGCAATAATTGTTTTTCTTCATTATAATGGGCATACCAAAGTATTGTAAAAAAAGCTTTTGACACTTCCTTTTGGTGAACCACCACTTTAAAAAGTCCGAGGGACTGAAATGTTACCGAATCCCAGGAATGACCCACTTATAATCATTCTGTTGCGTAGGTTATGCGCTTGTGCGGTGCGCTTAAAGACGCGCAGATATTAGGCGGTCCGTAAATATGCCTGAACGGAAAAGCTGCACAGGACCCCGATTCAGCGCAATGTTTTATTTGGAGAAAATAAAATGCAAAAAGCAGTGAATGAGGTGGAGGATTGGGCGGATAGTTGGGGTTTTCGGTTTTCTGTGGCAAAAACACAAGTAATATGCTTTTCGAAAAAGAAAAATAATCCAAGCTTGAATGTAAAAATATATGGTTATCAGCTGGAACAAGTAAATGTACTAAGATTTTTGGGTATGTGGATGGACTAAATTAAATTTTTTAATTCATATTCAGAAATTGATAGAAAAATGCAAAAAAGGAATAAATGTCTTAATGTGCATGTCCAGAGCTGAGTGGGGGGCAAGCTGTCAGTCATTGAAAATAATGTATGGTGCTGTGGTTATGTCAAACATAGATTATGGTAGTGTAGTTTACAAACAAAACCTTACTTAAAAAGATAGAGGTAATACAAAATCAAGCTTTGCGCATTTGCTGTGGTGCATTTAGATCTTCTCCGGTGGCTTCATTACAAGTTGAAATGGGAGAATTGCCTCTAGAACAGCGTAGGTTTCAGCTGAGATTAAGGTACTGGTATGGTGTAAAGGGACATCTGGAAAACCATCCAGTTAAACTAATTCTGAAAGACCATTAAATTGCTCCTTCTTTTGCTTTTCCAGCAATTCCTCCTTGGTTGTTCCCTATGCCACTAATTGATTTACAAATTCACAAAGTAATAAAAAAAAAAAACGGAGATGAACATGCCAACTGAAGTAGTAGCCCAACAATATATGTATAATACAAGAGTATTATTCTGTGTTACAGGTATTTACAGATGGGTCTAAGGAGCCAGAGTCTGGGAGAACAGCAGCAGCAGTTTATATTCCTACTTTTAAAATAAAAATGGCAAAAATATTATCAGATCATGTGTCAGTTTTTACTACCGAATTATTAGCTATCATACTAGCTCTACAGTGGATCGAAGAAGTTCAACCAGAAAGAACTGTGATATGTACTGACTCAATGGCTGCGCTCACTAGCCTACTAAGAGGTAAATCTGAAGCTCGGCAGGGCTTAGTATTTGAAGTTTTACAAAGTTTGTTTAGAATAAGGCAGTTAAGCATTCCTCTGGGTGCCTGCAGATGTGGGTGTGGATGGAAATGAGGAAGTAGACTTGCTAGCAAAGAAAGCTTTAAATAATCCACAAATAGAAATTAAGTTAGCTTTAAGTAAAGCTGAATTCAAGAGAGTGATATCATTTGAAGTAAGTAAGAAATGGCAACAGTTATGGAATAATGGGTCTAAAGGAAGACATCTTTTCCAGATTCAGGAGTGTGTTGGAAATGAGAAGAAAAGATACAGAAATAGGAAGAAAGATGTCATCTTATCAAGACTAAGAATCGGACATACAGCATTAAACTATAGTCTTTATAAAATAGGTAAGCATGAATCGGGAAAGTGTGACAAATGTGGAGAATTAGAAACAGTGAAACATATTCTTTTTGAGTGTTCTGCATTTGAAAGGGAAAGATTTCAATTAATTCAAGACTTAGGATGGCTGTGAGTTGATATTATTTATTTAAAAGTATTGTTAGGAAATGGGTCGAGGCAATCAAGAGTGCGAGAAAATATAATTTTAAATACCTGAAAAACGCAGGAACAATAGATAGAATATAGGTTTATTTATTTATTTGTTTATTTATAAAAAATAAAAAAAAAATTCTCTTCTTCTGTATTTCTTTCTTCAAAATGTATGCACACTCCACACTCCAGATCAGTAGGTGGCGGTAATGCACCTTTTTCGCTAGTTTGCCAAACCGCCATAAAACACCACAAGAAGAAGAAGACCCCGGTTCCGCGTCTGTCCTCTGATCGATCAGTAGGTTTACTTGGTTTTGTTTGATAGTTTATTTTTTATTGTGTCGGAATGACTGTCTCAACCGGATTTTAACCGCGGTAGTAGTTACAATATAATTACCACTGTCTGAGCTAAAAATTTATTAACCAGTTACAAGGTTCCGGGCAATATTTGCTATTGGCTGTGCCTCGAAACATAATGAGCTGCCTAAGTTACCCAGACAGCATTTTTTTTAGTCAGTCAAGAAAACGGAAAAACGTACTAGGCAGCTCACTTGATTTTGAGACAGATCTGATTTGATTTGGCACTTTACATTACAGATTGCCCATTACTGCAGTCTTGAATTAATACAATTAATATGCCAATATTCTACTTTCTCGTATTGATTTTTTTTTATATAGAACAAAATGACTGTAGAGGTTGAAAGAAAATTCGTTTGTGATGCAGAAATTATGGAGAAACTACAGGATATTGGAGGTGTGTTCAGATCTTCTGATTATCAAAATGAATAATTTATGCTTTACACACACACACACACATTATATTCATTATTATACACATACAGAATCCTGAAGTAACAAGCAACAGTATTAACTACCCTTTAATTTGATGTAGGTTGGATTTTTAAATTTTCTTATTTCTCTGTACAGCTAAATGCATTGGTCAGCGGCAGTTCCGAGACCAGTATTTTGACTCACCAGATTTCATCCTCACACTAAAAGATTTCTGGCTGAGATGCCGAGAGGGATTGTGGGAGTCATAATGAAATCCTCTGAATTAATGATAATATGTGACCCTTGACCACAAAACCAGTCTTAAGTCGCTGGGGTATATTTGTAGCAATAGCCAAAAATACATTGTATGGGTCAAAATGATAGATTTTTCTTTTATGCCAAAAATCATTAGGATATTAAGTAAAGATCATGTTCCATGAAGATGATATTAAGTAAAGATCATGTTCCATGAAGATATTTTGTACATTTCCTACTATATATATTAACCC